GGAGTTAGGCAAAAAAAAAATGTCGAGTCAGACGGAGCCCTCTAGAGCAGCGGACCCCAACCCCCGGGCCGCGGACCGGTCCGTGGCCTGTTAGGAACCGGTCCGTGGCCTGTTGCCAACCGGTCCGTGGCCTGTTAGGAACCGGTCCGTGGCCTGTTAGGAACCGGTCCGTGGCCTGTTAGGAACCGGTCCGTGGCCTGTTAGGAACCGGTCCGTGGCCTGTTAGGAACCGGTCCGCACAGCAGCAGCAGCAGGAGGTGAGAGCGGTGAGTCCGCGCGTGGCCCCCCGCCCCATTATTTTATTATTTACCACTTCCGTCCGTGCCTCTTTCCCGCACTGCGCGCTTGTCTCAGTCACGTGGTGTTGGTGTAAAGCCCACAACCTCTAACCCCTAGTAGCCACAATGAGTAACAAACAAACGTCGATGGAGAGCTTCTTTTAAAGACCCAATGATGACCCCCCCCACCCCCACGGTCCGTGAAAAAATTGTCTTCCACGAAACCGGTCCCTGGTGCCAAAAAGGTTGGGGACCGCTGCTCTAGAGCATCCTCCTAACGGAGTCCTTCGGGCAGCAGCGGCGCGATTCCAGCAATTGCAGGGCTGCGCCTATACCTTTTTAAATCGTTCGCGTCTATGTTACCAGACCTCTGCAGTGTTGGGGTTGGGGGGGGCTGGAGGAGTGGGGGGGGGGGTCGTGGCGGTTGTGCAAGGGGACCTCTCAGCGACTCACTCCAGAATTTGGAAAGTCTTTCCATCGTTGATGGAGCGAGGAGATATCGAGTCTTTCGCAAAGACACCGAGCATCGAGCGCTCTACCGGAGACCCATCCACACCCTCCCTGCCACCGCAGGCGCCGCGAGTCGAGGACGAAGCTCGCGCGATGGAGGTCACCAGGGCGCAGAGAGACAAAGCGGTGTTCCGTCGGACGCTCTTCCGAAAGATGTACTACGACCTGAGCACCAGGTGCTACCGGATGCGTCCGCACGTGCGTCTCGCTGTCTGGCCCCGTGTCTCGGCTGCGTCTCTGACTGCCTCTTGTTTTGACGACGTTGATGGACTGGCCGTGTCAGTCGGTGTCTGGCCCCGTGTCTGTGTTTGTCTAGAACGCGTCTCTGCCCGTGTCCAGTTGTCTTCTGGGCTGTTCGGTCTCACCAGTGGCCGGTTGCGTCCGTGTGATGATGTGTTGTGTTTGTTGTGTGGACCGCGCCTGGTCGTGGCGTGAGTAGAAGTGGGAAGGGGGTGATGGGAGAGATGATGGCTGATGATGCTCGTGATGGGTTGCTCCCAGTGTTCATCGGGTCAGAATTTAAATGGGGGGTTTTACTTGTTGTCACAGTCTCTGTCGGGTCGACGACAGACGGTGAAGTATTCATGAAGTCTGAGTGTGTGGATTTCACATTGTCTTAGTCTGGTGATTTAAAACCGTCACACATTTAGTCCAGCACTCTTATTAGTAAATGTTGGGGTGGTGGGGGGCGGGGTGCCCAGCTCCCCAACCCAATATTATCAGCTCAACTAATCGTTGAGCTCAGTAAATCCTTATTTTTATATTCATAAACTTCATAAACAGCCAAGCACCAACTTAATTTAGTCTCGTCAGTTTCACTCTGGTCACTCTACTCCCCCGCCTCGCCTCAATGTGCTGTGAAGAAGGGTCATTGTCAGAAACGTCACCCATTATATAAATACAGTATGCTTTTTAAAAATATATATGACAGAGTTCCCCCGTATAGCCTTAAGAGACTGTTGGGGCAAGTGCTGTTGGCGAGCTGCTGCTGGCAAATACGAGAGGGCTTCAGCAGAGAGAGTTCGTGAAGCTTCGCAGTTCCTCAGTGCATGAGTTGGTGTTGCATGGCCACAATCTTTAATGTGTGTCTCTCGGTGTCTCTGCGAGTCCGCGTTATCTCCGCGAATGTCTCTGCATCTCCGTTCGTCTCTACGCATCTCTGTGGGTGGTCTCTACGTATCTCCGTGTGTCTCTGTGGGTCCACTGTGTGGGCCACAGTTCCGGCTGCATGGCCATATTGGTGGCACTATCGTGGCTTGTCTTTAATGTGTCACTCGGTATCTCTGTGTTTTCGCGTTGTCTCTATGAGTATATCTGCATCTCCGTGTGTCTCTGTGGGGGTCACTGTGTGCGCCACAGTTTGGCTTTGTGTCGTTAATGTTCGACTTGTGAAGATGGTGCCGTTCGTGCATGGGATGAACGCCACTGCACAGCTTCCCCAATTCTCTGCTCCTTCCTTCTTGTCGTACGGCTGCTGCTGATGAAGATGCAGAGCGACAGCTACAATCTCACACTCACGTGGTCAAGCCAGACAACAACTTTCGGAGCGAGCGGAGTCGTACATAATCGCCGTGGCGTTTTCTACTTGTCTGCGCGGTTCCACGTCGTACCACGGTCTTTTTCTGGATGACCACAGTCGCGCACTGCTGGAGAGTCTATTTATGTATTTTGTTCATTTCCCACATTTGTTTTGCATCATGTTATCATCTGCCGAAGCAAGCGCAGGAGGCGCCTCTCTGTCTCCCCTTACTGGCGGATTCCGTCATGTGCACGTGTTTTTCTTTCAGTCGCAGAGTAAAAACGCAGAGGAGGGATTGTTGTGGCTGTTGTTATGGTTGTTGTTGTTGTTGCCATGCCCACTCGGCGTTGGCAGTGGCTGCAACGAGCGTTGTTAATAGGCGACGTTTCGGGCAATGGGGCCTTAGCGGAGATATACGACTCGGGGCATAAAGAGAGATTGCTTGAGTGGGATAGGTGGAGGCCTGCATTGATATACCACAGTATTACACACCACGACGGGACCCTGACAGCAATTAAGAAGAGTTGAAGAATGTTTCCAGATGCTGACAGAAAAATACTTCCAACTGGCGTATGGTGAGACAGACACCGTAAAACAGTTTACCCGTCAGTTGACGTTCAGGAACAAACCCATGCACATAGCACGACGAATCTCGTGGTGGGTATGATGCAATGTTCCAACCGTTATCCACTCTGTCTGTCTGGCACGCCACATCTCTCTGCTACTAAGAAGGGACATTGCCCATTATATAGTTTCCCTTTACAGACGCATTGTTGTTGTTGACCAATGCGTTGAAGGTTTCTATTTTTATTTTGCTCGCTATTAAGCGGGGGCGGGGGGGGGGCATTGCCCTGAAACGTCGCTATATGGCACATCATCATCATCTTCTTCCTTGTGTGGAAGTGACGAATGTGTTGCTTCGTGATGATGATGATGTTGTTGACGGAGAGAGAGGGCGAGTGGCTGTGGAGGGCGGGGGGGGTGGAGGGCGGGGGGGGGTGGAGGGCGGGGGGGGGTGGAGGGCGGGGGGGGGGTGGAGGGCGGGGGGGGTGGAGGGCGGGTGGGGGTGGAGGGTTGGAGGGCGGGGGGGTTGGAGGGCGGGGGGGTTGGAGGGCGGGGGGGTTGGAGGGCGGGGGGGTTGGAGGGCGGGGGGGTTGGAGGGCGGGGGGGAATCAGGGAACGAGGAGGAGACGGAGAGGTTGCTGACGTCACTGGAGTCCAGCCAGCCCAGGCTGGAATGAACCAGATGAGACTCCTCTCTCTTCTCTCCCTCCACCCACCCACCGTGTACACCCCCCACCACCTCCCCCCACCTCCCCCGTTGCAGTCACGCTTAGTCGGCCAAGGGGTTCCACCGCATTTGCATTAGAACTCTCGAAGGGTACAGACCGAAGTGAGCTTTCTCTCTCTCCCCGTGGCTTTCATAAACTCTCTCGTTTCTCTCCGTTGGTGAATATCTCCTGAGTACAAACCAGGCTTCACTCGTCCCTCTCTCTCTCTCTATTCATTGCTTTCCAAAGTCGCCGGTAGCTGCTGCCGTGTCGTGTAGCTGCCTGCGCGCTCAGTTACAACGAATAGTCGCTCTCTGTGAGCGAAAAAAACAAACCAAAATCCCATTGCTCTCAGCGAGGAGGTAGCCAGCTGGTCGGCGGATTTGAGTGGGTCTCCGTTGGCTCGTCAAAGAAGAGGGGCTAGTGAAGAGGGGCTAGTGAAGAATGAAGGTGTCTGAAGAATGCACCCGTGCCACCGCGAGCAGCCTGGGAGCCTTTGAGCTTCACAATGTGTCCGTGGCCTTCTTCGTGTCCCTGCTGGGGACGGATTGTGTGTCCGTGCGTCTCAGCCACAGGTAACAACAACATTTCTCTGGAACGTATCCCAACAACTCTCTCCCCCTCCCCTCCTCGCACGATCCCCTTGGCAGATGTTCGTGTCACGGCCTGAACCTTCTCACTGCAGGGGGCCTAAGCAGGTCGTCCACGTACTCGGTTGTATTATTCGCGTGGGTTTTCGCGGCCGATGTCGTCCATAATAGAGGTGGGGGTTGTTGTTTTTTTTGGGTTAGATCGCGTAATTATAATAAAAGTGTCGTTAAACCCGCCAATACTCAAAATCTGGCGGTTGCCTGTTGAAGCTAGTTGTAATTACCGGCGAAACGTCGTACTAGGATTGCAAATGTTGTGGCTTGGCTCTCCAACACAGTACCAGTAACGAATTGGCCACATTCTGTTTGCGTGACAACCCTTACAAGTTGGCTCTATTCGGGTGGTGGAGGGTTCAACGACACTCCTATATATTGACGCGATCTAAACCCCCCCAAAATCTTATGGATTTTGTATTCCCATTCCTTCTCGGTCACCTTGTGTAGTCGCGTGGTTGTCCATCCGCCCTCTTGTTGATGTGATGGTGTCTCATTCTGTCGTCGTCGTCTTCCCAGAGATAGAAAGTCGGCAGCCAATCCTCCTCCACTCTTCCCGTAGCTACCTACCAACTCTCGCCAGCGGTGTGTGGCTTTCAGTTCCTTGGTGTTCTTGTTTGGAGATGTTGGAAGCCGCTGTCACGTCCACACGAGCTGTGGTGATCACGGGGGTCCTAAGGGGGAGGTCATCCCCCCCCCCAAAGTCTCTTAGTTGAACCCCCCGTGAGTATTGACTAACTCTGGGTTGCCTTGTGTTTTTGTGTTTTTTTGTTCACAGTGCGTCCGGAGCAAGCGTGGTAGCAATTGACAACAAGATTGAGCAAGCCATGGTGAGTCTCTACTTTATTATTGGGGGGGGGGGGGCCTAGGGTTAAATATTCGGAGAGTGCAGTTTGAGAATGGGGGGGGGGGGGGGGGGGGTGTCAGAAGTTGTGAATATTTGAGGGTTTTTTCTCCCATACTGCTCATGAGATTTTGCATCAGTGGACAGATATTACAGGCAGATTCACACAGGCACACACACGCACGAGCATTTACCTTAACAGTCACACGCACACACACACGCAGGCCGTACGTATACGCAGGCAGTGACACACCTGCGATTAGCACGGTTGGCTACGTACGGTGCGAAAGAAGTTCAGCATACGTACAGAGGCAGACAGACACACACACGGGCATGCACACAGAAAGCGATTTAATGTACAAGCATGTACACAATAGACAAAAATACATGCACATGCAGATACAAGCACACGGACGAACATACACGCGGGGTCACTCAGGTAAATGCATAGCCAGAGGCAAATACGAAGATCTCCCGTGTAGCCTGTAACAGACTGTTGGGGCAAGTGCTGTTAGTGAGAAGGCCGGAACTAGGGGGTGGGTGGCCAGCACCACCCATCTGGCCGCCTTTGTCTCTCCACAGTGGCGACGTTTAAACACGCGCGCGCGCCCCCGCACCGGGCAAACCAATTCGAGGCCGAGTCGACCTAGACGTAGACCGGTTCAAGGTGATCGTCACCGGTGTTGACACCCCCCCGTCCCCCGAGCAAAGAGGCAGCAGCAGTAGCAGCCCCCAGCTCGGGGCTAACCTCACTCTGTGTTTACTTCTCGTTGCCAAGGGCGACCACGCGTTGCCCCCCCCCTACAACCCCAACACTGCTTACCGCATGGTAGGCCACAGGAACAACTTGTTCCCGGCCTGGGTGTGGTGGTGGTGTGGTGGTGGTGTGGTGGTGGTGGTGTAGCGGTTAGCGCTACGCCGCGCTGCGAAACCCGGCGATGCGGGTTCGACTCCCGCTCACGGCCAACACCGGTGACGATTAAATTATCTGAACCGGTCCTGGGCCTCCCCTAGGTCGGCTCGGCCTCAAATGAATGCCTGGTGCGGTGCGTGAAAACAAACAAAAAAACATCGCCACTGGGGAGACAAAGGCGGCCGGGCGTGGTGCTGGCCACTCCAAACGTCCCTCGTGAGCCGTTGTGGCCATCTCATAGGTGCTGCTCGCCAACAGCACTTGCCCCAACAGTCTGTTACAGGCTATACGGGGGATCTTTGTCTTTGGTGGGGTTGTGTGGGAGGGGGGGGGGGTGTTGGGTTGGATGAGGAGAGGCGATGGGGTGTGGCTTGTAAGTGGTTCGAGGCTGCTGATTGGTGCTCGAGTCGGGGCTATATTTGGACGCGGTATATAAAGAGGCAGAAGCCCGGCGGCTCGCTCACAGATCGCAGAGCGCGCGGGTGTCTGCCGCTGTGTGGCCACGCGTCGTGGTTTGGGGCTTCGCCAGTACCAGCACTCATCGGCGTTGCCTCGCCGTTAGAGCAAGCAAGCAAGCCCCCCCGTTAGTGCTGTGGGGGTTTGATAAAAGGCAATAGTCGACGTTTCGGGCAATGGCCCTTGATCATTGTATCCAGCCTGATAAAGGCTCAGCCTCCCTCCCATCTATCCTTTGTGAATAATGATCAACGTGAAGGTGATTTTCGTGCTCAAATCTTGAGCCAGTGGTGGGAATTTCACTTTGCTATGGCGGGGTGAGGATGCGTAATGCCATCGCTGTTGACCTACCTCCCACACACAAAGTGGTGCTCGTTTTATCGACCCCGCAGGGATGATGGGCTTAGCTCACTCCCCACAATCAGAATTTTAACTCGTAACTTTCCTATTGTGCTGGCCCGGTAGATACAATATTGTAGAAATATTTATTATATTATATTCGGATTATAATATGCAATCTCCCCCCCCCCCCCCTTCTGTATTTTAAAGCATAGCTTGGGGCGTGCATCTTATAACCCGGTAGTTTTGACGGTGTTTGTGCGTGTGAGAAATCAGATCCGTATAGCTTTACTTGACAATGGGGCACAAAGTATAGGGGTGAGTCTTAACTTTCCAGAGCGTCTTATAATCCGGAGCATATTACAAACCTGTCAACCCCTTATCAGTGCCCTACTTTATTACAGAGCAATTCAGACCTTATTGGTCACCCCGTGCCCCTTATAAATCTCAACGTTCATCCAGCAGAATCCCATCACAAGGGAGAAACACAAACACGTAGTCCAAAAAAATGTTGTTGCTCGTATTGAAACGGCTGGACGTGGCATGGACCTGAAAACGCACTTTCCCTGTACTAGAATGCGGGGTAGACCGCACGGGTTGACAGGTTTGCTACTATACACCACCACTACTATACACTACACTACATACCTGTAAACCACTTATCAGTGTCCTACCTTATTACAGACATTCAGACATCAATGGTCACCCCGTGCCCTTATAAATCTTAAAGTTCCATCCTACAAGGAGAGAAACACAAAAAAATAGACACATTTCTTTGCCCGTATTGAAACGGCTGTTCGCCGTATGGACCTGAAAACTCAATTTCCCCGCACGAGAATACGGGGTAAAGCGTGCCGCGTTGACAGCTTTGTTATTAGTACTGTGCCCGGTAAACATGGAACATTGGCCCAACGTTGTCACAACATTGGGCCAACGTTCAGAATTGGGTGTTAAAGAGTCCGAGCAGAATGCAGGGATGGACACGGGGAGAAGGTATCGTTACTCATTCTGCTTCGCGTCTGACACTTGACTGTCATCCCTCCCCCCACCGCCCGTCCAACGTACCCGGTAACCACGGTGCAGGTTTGCCTTACAAATATTTAATAGAATAGGCTGACGTTTCGGGCAATAAGCCTTCTCGAGAGTAGACGGTGGACAGGTATACGAAATGTCTTAATGTCCGTGGTTTGGTAACGCTTGTACCGTTGATGTTGCGGTGTTGTATCCCGCTTTATATTTGTCTTGTGTGTGTGTGCGTGTGCCCTATGCGGTGACTAATATAGACTAGGACACGTAAAAAAAATAGACGCACTTTAATAAAAAATTTAAACACTTTTGCCCCACCCCATAATTAAATAGAAATTCCGCCGTCGGCATCCATCGTGCGGTGGCTGAGCTGGAGAAACGATTGCATTCGGAACTCCGCAGAGAGCGGTGGAGGGTTTTTAACCACCCTTTTGGGGTCACAGCAAGGTCGTAATGTCCATCCCAATATATTGCTATGAAATATATTTCTGTTTATATGATTGTGGTTATGGTTGTACTTTATGAATCCCTAATCTCTGCCATTACATACAATGAAACAAGAAAAGATAAAAAAAATGTAATACAATACACTATTAGATATTATTGTAAAAAATAAATAAAAACTCCATCCCATGTGTTAGTGATTTTGTAATATTTTAGGCAGGAAATTTGTTTTCAAATTGAGACTTTTTTTCTGGCCTCCTAAAGGGCACTCGGCCGCAGTCCCAGCTGAAAGCATCGGAAGCGTTAATCAATAAACTCTGCCCTTAAAGTAAACAAAACAAAAACATCTTAGCAACATAAAAAAGTCAACGTTGTAAGAAGGCTCTGTTGCCCCGAAACGTCACCAACTACATACTTATTTAATTTCAGAGCAGTGGCATCGACGGCCGCGTCGACTCTGCGCTGTTCGTCGGCACGTCCGCTGCCACCCAAGCAACCAAACATTCTTGATTTCTTGACTAAATTAAGTCACTCGTTCTGCTTTACTTATTTTTCGCGAAATAAGCCGGTGGAGACGCGGGGAATCCCCCCCCGCCCACCGCGCCCGCCCCCTCGCTAGCGGTTTTCGTGACCCGCAGAGCCTCCAGAAAAGGGGGATACGAACGTCAGTTTTGAGTCACGGTCATTTTGCGTCCTTCCCCCTCCACCCGCCTCGCCTTTGCCCGTGCAACCGCTAAGCCCGTGTCTGCTGGTGGTGACCACACCCTGCCAAGTCATTCCGCCCAGGGAAGTTGGAAGAGCTCCAAATTCACCCCGCCCGCCCACTCGGCATAGACGATGCAGACTTGAATAAACGACCCAGTTATTACCCAGAAAGTGTGCGCACGGCAGTGTCATTAACAGCCGGGCACGCACACAAGACAAAGATCCCCCGTGTGTATATCCTTCGCGGAGGGTTGGGGCAGGTGCTGTTAGGGAGTAGGCAACTATGAAAGTTGAGACGGCACACGAGGGGGTGGGTGGCCAGCACCACGTCCGACCACACGCACACGCGCGCGCTCTCCGCCCACGCACTTGAGTCACCCACGTTGTTCAATATTTACCCGTGTTGCCAGGTTGGTGTTTGTTTGTTTTTGTCTCTCACCCGATAAGAGGCCGGGAGGGAGACAGACGCAGCCCCAGTGGGAAAGAGCAGAGAGACGGGATGGAGAGACACGGAATGCGGAAGGGCATAGGCAGGGAAAACAGACAAATGGGAGGTGATACGGACAGGCAGACACACAGGAAAGACAGAGAGGGGCAGATAGACAACGACGCAGGCGAGACGGGACAGCTGGACGTGGAAGATGGACAGGAATGACGTACGGTGGAGAATAGACGGTGGGAGACGAAGACAAAACGGGATGAGGCAGAGCGGACGGATAGGAGACAGACACCAAATACAGACAGCAGAGAGACACCGCACCCTGTCCCTCACACAGTTGTCCCGATCTCTCCATGTCCAAGTTCAACAGCTCCACCATAACTGACCTAGGCCGAACCTTGCCAAGGAGACTTTTAAGTGGGTGGGAGGCCTTTATCCAGTGGTGGATTGACAAGGGGGTTTGTAAATTCCTTTTTTATCGATTAATGACAACTCGACTGAACTTACGCGCCAGTGACGCATCTCGTGCAGGGTTTTTACGGAGGGCGAGGATCTATTTTGAGTGTTTTATGACGTACTAAGCAGGCTGGCGCATGCACACACCCACACACGCACACCCACACGCGCTTGTGAGCAAATCACCAGGAATGTGGCCCTGTGGTCGGATCTCAGAAGCCAATAGAGTCGTATTTGTAAAGGAAGGCACTACTACGGCTGCCGTAGTTTACCAGTCGTGGAACGGTTGGGGTTGGCCGGGCGATATCGCTTTATCCATCGTACAGGTTGTTTTTAGGTTAGATCGCGTAAATATGAACGTGTCGTAAAACCCGCAACCACCACCCGACACAACCAAATAGTAAGGTTTGTCACATGAACAAAACGTGGCCAATTGGTTACTAGCACAGCACACCGGTGTGTTGGAAAGCTGAGCCACAACATTTGCAATCTGAGTACGACGTTTCGCCAGTAATTACAACTAGCTTCATCAGGCTGCAGTCAGATTTGTATTGCGTTGCATAATCTCAGTTGACTCCTTTGCAGACATTTTAAAGACGGACAGATATTTGTCAGTAGTCAATTAAGTTTCACCCGGGCAATCGGAGAGCAGCACAGACTTCGTGTTTATAACCTAAACGTTAAACACGGACAATAATGTATTTAAGAATTGCAGTTAAAAGACAAACCGCATATTACGCGATTGGAAAGAAGTTAAAATGAAATAAAAATGTTTTAACTGTAAACTGTATGTAGCCAACCGATTAGCACGGTTGGCTACGTACGGCGCGAAAGAAGTTCAATTTACATACAACATACGTACATACAGGTCTAGTATCAGAACTGTGCAGGGCACTGCGATGATGGTCAACGCAGCACTGGCAGCAGATCTGGGTCCACATCAATACTCACCACCTGTTGTACGCACACCGATTCTGGACAGCTGGCAAAACCTCGCTGCCGCGTGACCTCCTAACCGCCACCCCCCTCTTCTCCTCCCCGCCCGTCCCCCGTGTCCGTCTCAGGACCTCGTCAAGTCCCACCTGATGTTCGCCGTGCGCGAGGAGGTGGAGGTGCTCAAGGACCAGATCAAGGAGCTCGTGGAGCGAAACTCGCACCTGGAGCGCGAGAACTCCGCGCTCAAGGGCCTCGCCTCGCCCGAGCAGCTGCGGGACATCCAGGCCCAGCTCACCGGACGGCAGCAGAGGGCCATCGGCGGGGCCCCGTCCAGCCTCACCCCCTGACGCGGCCGGCTCCGCACGAGGCGACGGTCGCCTCCACCACCACCACTACCAATGACTACGACCGCAACGACGATGACCGAGGCTCAAAAATAACCGACGTCCGAGGAGCCGTTTTGAGCGTGCTATCCCGCGGCCAGGCCGGCTGCATGACAACCTAACGTGCGGCCGGCCAAAGGCTTGGCGGTTGGACTGGGACGCGAGCGAGCTGGCCGGCATCTGTGCTGGCCGGCCAGTTGGCGAGCCGGCCAGCTGGCGGGAAAGCCAGTGAGCGGGCTGGCCAGTGTCAGGACTGGTTGGCCAATGGTGCGCCGGCCGGTAGCCGAGTGAGCGGGCTGGCCGGGCTGGCTGACCGTTGAGCACACCGGCCGGCAGGTTAAGCTTAGTGAGCGTGCTGGTGAGCTGGCGGGCGCTTGAAGGGCTAGCGAGCTGGCGAGCCGGCTGGCTGCCAAGAAGCTGGACCTCTCTTTGCGAGCGTCCCGGGCTAAACGAGTGAGCAGCGCGGGCTCCTGTGTTGTTATTATTAAATGTTTTATCGTTTGTTTTTTGTCCTTCTAAAAACTCAGGCTGTAGATGGCGACGCGTGATTTGTCGTGTTGTTTCCTTGTCGCGTTGATGAAACCCGTAGCCGCGGTGAGATTTTTTCCCCCGATAGAACGTAAACTTCGTCTTTTTACAGGGCGTTGAGTGTAGTGACCACTGATGCTGCTGAACCTTAACCCCACGGGGGCCCAGTGGCGTTCAAGGGCGAAGGTGCCCACTAGGGCCCGACCTGAGCGCGAAAAGCCTTCACCTTTGAAGGAGCTGGGGAGGGGGGGCCTAGGGTGGGACCCCCTGGGTGGGACACCGCCTGGGTTCACCGGCTGGGTTCTCTGCGTTCACCGGCTGCTTTCACCGGTGCCCAACTTTGTTGATCGCCCCCCCGGAAATGCTCGTCCGCGTCCGGTGATGGCACTACCACTACCCACCCCCCCCTGACTTGTAAATAAATAAAGTTGTTTTAAAGCGATGATTGCTGGTGGCGTCCCTTCCATGGTTGGCTGCGGGTGGAACCCTCTCTCGTTACGAACGTGTCACAGGCGTGCACCGCCTCAGCCTGGCAGAGGCCGTGGTGAGATTGTTGCGAGGCTGTGGTGAGCTGGTGAGGTTGCCGGCAGATGCTTGCGGGTGGATAGGTGGCGACGGAGCTCTGGTGAGGCTGCGATGGCACGGGTGAGGTTGTGGTGAGGTGGTGTGCGGTGAGACAATCGCGACAGGTGGCGAGGCTGTGGTAAGTGTGGCGAGGCTGCAGGTTAGGGGCCGTCCATAAATGACGTCACGCACCTGGGGGGGGGGGGTCAGACATTTGTGACGATGTGTGATGACGACGGGGGGGGGGGGGGGTGAGAAATGTGACGTCACATCTAAATGCGCAACTTTAAATAAATATAGACAACACGTTCTACTTAATTAAATAGACTTTTTGATGTTTTCTACAACGTCGGAGTGCAGCGCCACATTAAATACCGACTACAATGACAATAGTTTAAAGCGATGTGAAGCATCTGTTTTTTTGGGGGGAGGGGGCAGAGCTGTGTGACGTCATATTTGAGGGGGGTCTGACTTTTTGTGACGCCGTGTGACGAGGGGGGGGGGGGAGGTCAAAAATCGTCCAAAATCGCGTGACGTCATTTATGGACGACCCCTTAGTGAAGATTGTCTTTTCGCACCGTGCTAATCGGTAGGTGCTGGGAATCGTCGTGAGATTCACATGCACTCTCAAACGCTCCTTTTGTCAATCCACTGCTGGATGAGCTTCTCCCAGCGCCTGAGATCATTGCGGCCGAGTTGAACATACTTCACCAGTCTGGTTGTCAAGTCCTGGAGCCAAATGATGTGACCGCACCGCCCTCTGCTGGTCACGAACGCGGCATAAAACCTCGGCAGCCCCAACGACATCCTTGTCACAAGCCTTCTTCACTACGTTGGTCCCCCCCACCCACCCCGTCCAAACGCACGGACCCAGGCGCCCCCAACTCTGCTAAGCCTCCAAGATCTGACGAGATGGAGCCGAGGTTGAACTCTGGCAACGAAAACTGCGGCGAGATTGAAATCGGGCCTGTGCTGCTGCCGCCGCAGTGACGTGATCGCGGTGGCGAGGCTCTAAGTGATGTAGAGGTTTTTTTATTTTTCATACTTTTAGATACTGGCAAAAAAGGTCCCATTTTACAGCTGCCCACCCCGAGCTGTATACATGCTCTGATGGTGGCATTGTCTTTGTGCGGTTCGCCTTTTGGTGTTCTCTGGTCTGACACTGGTAAGACGAGACCCAAAAGGAGGCTTTCTCTGGTGTAGGCCAAGCAGTTGCAAAGACAATGCATGTAACATTATAGTTACATTATTATAGACAATGCATATAACATTAGTTACATTATTATTAAGGACAATGCCATATAACATTCTAGTTACATTATTATTAAAGACAGCGTCATATATTATCAGATGTTTGCATGCTCACCACAAGTACTGTGTGGTTAATGCAGTAACTTGATTCCTGTGGTTAATGCAGTAACTCGATTCCTGTGTGGTTAATGCGGTAACATGATTCCTGTTTAATGCAGAAAACTTGATTCCTGTGTGGTTGATGAAGTAACATGATTACTGTGTGGTTAATGCAGTAACATGATTCTTGTGGTTAATGCAGTAATATGATGCCTGTGTGGTTAAAGCAGTAACTCGATTCCTTTCAAAAGTTTTATATTTGGTGTTTGAACATCTTAACAGCTGTTTTATTGACAGAAAGGGTAAAACCTATTCTTATTTATTCATACTGAGATTATTATGACAATGTCTAACCTCGGCGAGTCTAAAAATAAGACTCGTTTCCAGGCGGGGCCTTGTCAAGTTTTCGCAGTACGATGGGACGGCGACAATTTAGCCAAAATATTGTCCAAATTCGCGGCGCCGGCTCCCACGCATGGCCTACACTTCGTGACATCTTTCATGTCAACTGTGAAGCAGACAGCACGCGGTGTTGTTTTGTTTTACTTTTAAAGCACCAGCACACTTGACCAGGGTGGCCCACAGGGCATCGAAACGCAACACAACCCTCTGCAACAAGCGGCCAAACGCGCCGCCCCACGGGGGTGACGAAAGTTGCCCCAATGGGGAGTGCTGCGATGCGCCTGAGATGCCCACTCCCCACAGCGAGGCTCGAAGCCTCGTGCTGAAGAAGTTGAACTATGTTCACTTTTTTTTACACCAGGAAAGGCCCCACTGAGCTTTGTGTAGCTCTTTTTTCAGAAGCGACCTGGCTATCGCAAACGACAGCTCAGCGAAGTGGCTTGTCGTGCGGAAATTTATAGCAAATGTACTCTTAAATGCGTGCTTCTCCTTGTGGAGGGGAAAACCGGAGAACCCGGAGAAAAATCCACACGACCATGGGGAGAGAGACACCGCAAACTCCAAGTATACAGTCGGCGTCAGGGTCGGGATGGAATCCACAACCTCCTGTATACCTGGCGAGGTAGTTAACATCTCCTAGCCACCGGGGCACCCCAGGTTTACGCAACATAACACGTGCATTGTGACGAAACTTGAGGGCCCAAATGTAAATTTAGCGTAAAATTCTTCAACCTACCGGCGAGCCAAACCCATAATTGGCACACTAATCGCTTTCACACGCGTCGTTTTAATGCTTGGCTGGTGCCGGGTGGTGGCAAGTCTTGACACAAATATGGCCAGATCATGCGTTACGTCGCCTAACCAGGTGCGGCTCCAGCTCCTCTCAGATATGGGGGGGGGGGGGGGGGAGGCACTTTGTATGTACGTATGTTGCACTTCTTTTGCACCGCACGTAGCTAATCGGAGGTGCGGAAGGAGAACAAACTGTGAGTCGCCGCTTGAGAGGACCTGGGTGGGTGGGCCAAAGGGACATTTGGTGGTGCAAGGCCCCCACCAGGGCCCCAACCAGGGCCCCCACCAGGGCCCCAACCAGGGCCCCCACCAGGGCTCCCACGAGCGGTGGCACCGGGGCCAAAACCCCAAACATCAATGACGACTCCAGGACGGGGGGAGGGATGCACAATCATGGAATGTTTTTAATGCGTAGACTTTGATCCTTCGACTGACACGTGCACAGTTCTGTCAACGGCGACACCGGGCGTCGGTAATTTATGCAGAACGCGTGCGTGCGCGAGCGGGTGGGTGGTGGGTAGGTAGGTGCCCCCCACCACTCCCTCCATCCTATTAGATTAACAGACACTTGACGATTAATTAAGAGAACGACACGCGATGGCCGCGGGGTTTAGACAAAGGCCGTGGCGTGAATCGGAGTCGGCTGCGGGGATGAGAACTCGTAACCGCGAGAGAGGTGGTGGTGGTTGCAACGACATCCTGGGTGCAAGAATCGATGCAGCGTGCGAGTGTGCGCATGTTTGCGCGTGTACAACAAGTATGCACATGGGTGTGTGCGCGTGCGTACACGTATGTACCTAGCTTGGCACATGCGTTGTGGTGACGTCACCGCCACCTAGTGGCTAAATGGTGGTTGTGGTACAAGTACATTGCTGTGGGTGTGTGTACAAGTGCGCGTGTGTGTGTGTCTGTGCGTGTATCTTGAGAGTCGTGGTTGCGTGCCTCTTCCTCACCCTCCAACTCGGATGCTCTGGATTATCTGGAAAATGGCTGCACAGAAAACGAGCACCAAACCAGACACAGAGACGTTCAGTCCACAGGTACCATCGCACGCAAACGTCACAAAGACAGACAGTATACAGACTCGCAGCATTGAAGCCCTAACCACCCACTCACCCCTTCGCCCCCCCCACACCCAAGAGCCTCTACAGACTCGGGGCAAGTGCTGTTAGCAACAGAAAACATTCATATTCTTTGGGTCTTTTGGTAAAGTCATGTAGATAGGTTCAAATTAATACAAATAAAATAAACAAAAAACTACGACGCTTGTGTTGTAATCGAAACGTCGTAGTTTTTGGTAATTTTCTTTGAACCTATCTAAGTGATTTTACCTAAAGACCCAAAGAATATGAATTCCTGCAGTCACGAAAGCTTTAAGTCAAGAGAAAAATATTTAACCTGCTATTCTGTTTTTCGGCTCAGCCAATCTAGATGGGAGGGGGGGGGGGGTGCGGGGAGCCCAGGACGGGTTCAGACATCACTTGCCACTGAATGCAAGAATGCTCTGTGGGGATGGAAGGCCTAAGGGCTGGGTGGACTCTGGGGGTTGTAGAGACGGGAGACCCACAAAGGGTAGGAGGCCTGCATTTCTGTACGGCCGCAGGGCATTAGGATTGTATGGCTGTAAGTCACGATTGCTACACGCATGTAAATATGTATGAGTAAGAGGCCTGTATGTCTGAATGTATGACCATGTATGCAAGCCTGTATGTGTGAAAGGTTGTACTTGTGCAAGGTTGTTTGTATGTCTGCAGGGCTGCATGTGTGTGATTCTATGTAAGGCTGCCTTGTACGTCTAGAACGGTGTTTGTGTTCGGCAACAATGGAGGGAATACGAGCGACGCTCACAACAACGAGCGGAGCGCCGGGCGGCTAAAATGCAGCAAGTTGGCACAGTGGCGGTTACTGGTGGTGCATTCGCCAGCCATGTCAGTGAACCCATGGCACCTGGGTTTGTCCCAGGTGCCTTCGACACTTCACGTGGCCTTAACGCGCACATAGCCTGGTACAAGCGCTGTGGTGACATCACCTCCACTTAGTGGCGAATGGCGGTTGTTGTTTTTGTACGTCGGGATACGTGTGTGTGTGTTTCTTTGTAAGGTTGTATTGTACGTCTATAAGGGCATATTGTATGTAGGGGCTGTACGTCTGCGCAGTTGAATTGTCTGTATGACTGTCTGTATGGATAGATGTCTGCGACGTTGTGCTGCAAGTGGTGATGGTATGCCTACGGGACTATGCTTGTGAGATATTGTATGCATGACTGGATGTAGTGTCTGCAGAGACAAATCTCTTGTGACCTCCTGCCAGCGAGCCGTCGACATTCCACGTGGTCTCAAAAGTGCACCTAGCCTGGCGCAAACGCCTTGGGTGACAACCGCCGCCACTCTCAGTCGCGAATGGCGGTTGTTATTTTTGTAATTGTCTGTACACCGGTGAGACTGTTTTGTACGGAGGGTTGCCGAGATCTCGAGTCTGTAGTGTACGGCTACACGCCGGCCTCGGCACTCACCCGAGCCACACACCACGAACACGAACAGCGCCAGCAACCAGGGCCCCACCGGGTACCGCTCATCCTGGGTTTTCTGTGGGACGCAAAGCGCACACGAGACACACGCAATGTACACACACGCGCACACGTGGACACAAGCACGTGCAAAGACAGATCCCCCCCCCCCCCCCACATTGGCTTAACAGACTGTTGGGGCAAGTGCTGTTCGAGAGAACCTACGCAGGCCGGCAGGGCACACGAGAGCGGGTGGTGTAAAAGCACCATGCTCGGCCACCTTTGTCTCACCCTAGCGATGTTCACGTACCGCACCGAGTATTTATTCAAGGCTGAACGGACCTAGAGTAGGGCCAGTTCAGATATTTGCCGCCGACGTTGAACTTTCACTGCTGGCTTTGTGGCGCTAATCACTACGCGATCGTACCACCCCACACAAACGCACGTTCACACCAGCGTGTATATGTACAGCCCTTTTGTCAATACACTGCTGGATGACGGTCAGCAGGGGTTATAGGACGATACTTCACCACCACGCTGGTTCGTGCGGGATGGTGAAGACAGGGGAGCATAGAAGTGCAGGACAACAATGGACGATGCTGCACCCTGCCCTCTGCCTCCAACAACAATGTAGCAGCACTGCATGCAACAGCCGATTGGGATGGTGGATGGGCACCCGTCAAAGTACTAACCAGGCTCAGCTTCTGACGAGATCAGACACATTCCTGGTGATTTAGTCATGGGCGGAAGACACATTGGGGCAGACGTGTACACACACGAACGTACGTGTATACAAAACACAAGCGTATAGGCATTCGCATAAAATGACAAAAACGCATACACGTGAATAACCACACACGTGGACACCCACGGTTACGGACAATACACATATAAACATAAGCTAATGTGGACAACCATACACGCATTTGTAAATACAGGTGTATGCTGTACTTACAGCACAAGAACACAAACACACGTATAAACAGGTGCGCATATTCACACGCACATAACTAATACCCCCGTATAGCCTTAACATACTTTTGGGGCAAGAGCTGTTAGCAAGTAGCAGCTATGAACGCCGGTACAGCACATGAAGGGGTGGGTGGCCAGCACCACGCCCGGCCGTCTTTGTCTCCCCAGTTACGAAATAAACAAGTGCATTACAAGTACACACACAGGACTATACACGTGTAGAGGATGTCTCATTCATCCTCACAGACGCGCATACTTTCTGCACTCGACATCACCACGCTGTATTCTTGTACAGGGAAATTGAGTTTGCAGGCCCATAAACGGCGTACAGACGTTTCAATAACGTCAAAAAAGTGTCTTAAATTGTTCGTGTTTCTCTCTTTGTGATGGGACTTTGTAGGATGAAAGTTGAGATTTATAAGGGCACGGGGTGACCAATAAGGTCTGAATTGCTCTGTAATAGGGCACTGTGGAACGAGGGAACGGGGTTGGTTTTGATGATGAGTGTTGCTGCTGTAGTGTACGAACAGTGACAACGAAATCGAGAAGTTGAAGTACAACCAGCCCAAGTCTCATTTTCACACGTAAACACACACACACACGCCGCACATACACAACAACAACATCCTCCATTGGCCACTAAGTGTCGGTGACGTCCTCGCGGCGCCTGTGACAGGCTAGGTGCACTTTGAGGCCATCACGTGAAGTGTTGAAGGCTCGCTTCTGGCAGGTCACGGGACAGACTTTAGGTGCCATGGGTTGACTGACGTGAGATGACTGGCAGATGCACACCAGCTATGCTACCCACTTTGCCAACACAAAAAAATAAAGATTCCCCGTATAGCCTTAGCAGGCTTTTTGGGGCAAGTGCTGTTTGCGAGCACCTATGAAGGCCGGTTCGGGACACGAGGGGGTTTGAGTGGCCAGGAACACGCCCGACCGCCTTTATCTCCCCAGTGGCGATGTTTAAACACCGCAGCAGGCACTCGTTTGAGGCTGAATCGACTTACTCGTCACCGTTGTTGTCCGTGAGCGGGAATCGAACTCGAGCTGCTGGGTTCGTAGCGCAGTGCGCTAACCACTACGCCACCCCTCCCCACCAACAGAACAACACACACACAGGTGCACAGAACTATAATGTATACACACTTGTGCCAAAAATCAATAAACATGGTAACACGTGTACACACACACACGGTTAAACTCACGTATACACGTACAGACACGTATACAAAACATGAGCAGGCATACGTACACACGTTGAACTTCTTTCGCACCGTACGTAGCCAACCGGTGTACATAGGTGCACACGCGAATTGACAAGCACACAACGTACGTACGCACACGTGTATCCGCGTGTACACGAACAGCAGCACGAGTAATATGGCATCCTCCATTCGAGTGCAAGTCACGTTTCGACGGCTCGCGTGCCAGGCTAGGTGCACTCTGAGGCTCACCACGTTAACGTAGCAGGTCACGAGGACAGACCCAGGTGTTTAGAGGCTAACAGACGTTACTATATATACACACACATACACACTGTACATACACAATGTACACACACATACACAATGTACACGTACACATTGTACATACACAATGTACATACACAATGTACATACACAATATACACACACGGCTAGGACGTCCACGTGTACACACACAGACGTGTACACACAGGCACGTACACACAGACATGTACACACACAGACACGTACACAGACGTGTACACACACAGACACGTACACACACAGAAACGTACACACACAAACGTACACACACAGACGTGTACACACACAGACGTGTACACACACAGACACGTACACACACAGACGTGTACACACAGACACGTACACAGACGTGTACACACACAGACACGTACACATACGTGTACACACACAGACGTGTACACACACAGACGTGTACACACAGACGTGTACACACAGACGTGTACACACACACACACGTGTACACACAGACACGTACACAGACGTGTACACAGACGTGTACACACAGACACGTACACAGACGTGTAGACACACAGACGTGTACACACAGACACGTACACAGACGTGTAGACATACAGACGTGTACACATACAGACGTGTACACACACAGACACGTACAGAGACGTGTACACACACAGATGTGTACACACACAGACACGTACACAGACGTGTACACACACACGTACACAGACGTGTACACACACAGACACACACACAGACACGTACACAGACGTGTAGACACACAGACGTGTACACACAGACGTGTACACACAGAGACACGTACACAGACGTGTAGACACACAGACACGTACACACACAGACGTGTACACATACAGACGTGTACACACACAGACGTGTACACATACAGACGTGTACACACACAGACACGTACACAGACGTGTACACACAGACACGTACACAGACGTGTACACACACAGACGTGTACACAGACGTGTACACACACAGACGTGTACACACACAGACACGTACACAAACGTGTAAACACACAGACGTGTAAACACACAGACGTGTACACACACAGACGTGTACACACACAGACGTGTACACACACAGACGTGTACACACAGACGTGTACACACAAAGACACGTACACATACATATAGACACACAGATGTGTAAACATACAGACACACACACATTCGTGTACACACACAGACGTGTACACACAGACGTGTACACAGACACGTACACAGACATATAGACACACAGACGCGTACACACACAGACGCGTACACATACAGACACACAGACGTGTACACACACAGACGTGTACACATATAGACACACAGACGTGTACACACACAGACGTGTACACACACAGACGTGTACACACACAGACGTGTACACACACAGACACGTACATACACACACAGACACGTACATACACACACAGACGCGTACACACAGACACAGACGCGTACACACACACACAGACGCGTACACACACACAGACGCGTACACACACACAGACGCGTACACACACACAGACGCGTACAAACACACAGACGCGTACACACAGACGCGTACACACAGACGCGTACACACAGACGCGTACACACACACAGACGTGTACACACACACAGACGTGTACACACACACAGACGTGTACACACACACAGACGTGTACACACACACAGACGTGTACACACACACAGACGTGTACACACACACAGACGTGTACACACACACAGACGTGTACACACACACAGACGTGTACACACACACAGACGTGTACACACACACAGACGTGTACACACACACAGACGTGTACACACACACAGACGTGTACACACACACAGACGTGTACACACACACAGACGTGTACACACACACAGACGTGTACACACACACAGACGTGTACACACACACAGACGTGTACACACACACAGACGTGTACACACACACAGACGTGTACACACACACAGACGTGTACACACACACAGACGTGTACACACACACAGACGTGTACACACACACAGACGTGTACACACACACAGACGTGTACACACACACAGACGTGTACACACACACAGACGTCAACATCGTCCACGTCAACACAGGCGCTACCGCCGCCATGACTGCGACCCCGTCTCCATCTCCCCGGGCCTCGGCTCCTCTTGTGAACGGTCCCGGTTCCTCACCGATGACTTGGCCACGTTGCCCCGCTGGGTGATGTTTTTGCTGTGCTTCTCGCTCGCCACCCGCATGCGCTGCTTCGCCACCATCCTTGACTCTTTGCTGAGGACGGAGCGCGGAGCGGCTGATGCTGATGGTGATGATGGCGGCTGGGCAGACTGGGGGGGGTGGTGGTGGGGTAGAAATCGATTCCGTCGCGAGTAAGTCGATGTCGCGATTCGCTTCCACACAAAAATCGCGGCTCGATTCGATATGGGTTTTAGATTAAGTGTGCACTACGTTAAGTCTGAGTTTCTCACGGCCTAGCCCGTGAACTGGGCCCAGTCCATGAGCGGGTCACGTGTGTGTTGTTAGAACGACTGTTTGTTGTGACTTAATCTAACACGTAGGGTTTGCACATTTTTTTTGGGAGGGGGTGAAGGTAGACTGGTACCCCAGGCCCATATGAAATGTCTACCACTGAGTGCTCAAGGGCTGTTAACGGGGGATGGCCACCAATGGCTCAATGTGGCTCAATTTGATCCGGAAGCCTCTCTTGAGTTTAATTAAAAACGCAATTGCATCCTTTATCAGAATCGTAAAGCAGTCGATTCGATGACAATTGGACGATTCCGGCGAATCGATACGAGCGTGGGCGGTCCCAGCTTCTGGGGGGTTGGGGCCCCGCCCCCGCCGATAGGGGGGAGGGGCTGTGGGGGGGGGAGAGGGGGGAGGGGCCGCCACGCATGCACGCAGGGGGGTGGGGGCACCCGCGAGGAAGTCACGTGATCTCCGAGCCCCTCCGGGCACGTTGCCACGAGGCACGTGGTGAGAGCATCGACAGGAGCCAAAGTCCCCTAACCCCCCCCCCACCACCCGTGTCGCCTTGGTAGAATGTTGGGGCAAGTGCTGTTAGCGAGTACCTATTGAGGCCTGGCACGGCACACGGGGGGAGTGAGTGGTCAACACCACGCCCGGCCGCCTTTGTCTCCCCGCCCCCCCCCCCAGTGCTGTTTACGCACCTCACCAGGTATTTATTTGAGGCTGAGTCCACCTTAAGGGAGGTCCGGTTCAATAATCCGCCTGTGAGCGGGAATATAACTCGGTTCGTCGGTTCGTAGCGGAGTGTGCCCCACCGCTCCCCCCACCACTGTCACACAAATACTCAACATAATAACGTTGTTGAACTTCTGTCGCACCGTAGGTAGCCAGCAGTGCTAATCGTGGGTTTTTGTGTATAGTTGTAACTTGCTAAACCGCCCTTACTGGACATATGTGAAAAAGGGCGTCATCGCTTATCGGATTCCTCTTGCAGTCTAAATAAAAAAAATTCTGATTTAATCTATAGTACAGCATTCACAAATGTTATGTAAGACAAGACATTTCGTGCGTCATTTATTTATGACGTCACGATGTGTGGCTCGAAGGAGACTTCATCAAGAGTGCGCTTTGGTGACATCGCGTTTCGCGCTGCGCGTCGCCACTAACGGGTGGTTCTTGCTGATGGCGTCATGTTCACGGAGTGACGGGCACGTAACGACGGGGGGTGACGTCACGATAAAGAATACATAATTTTTTTATACATATTTAAAAAATATATGTATTCTTTATTCTTGGTTCTTTCGGTTAAGTCACGTAGATAAAAAATAAAAATAATGAATTTAAAATAATAAAAGCAAAAAACCATCGACGTTTCAATCGCAACACAAGTGGTCTTCATCAGGCGGAGAGAAAAGAGGGGGCAAGCCTCCAAATGCAACTGCTTATAAGGGTTTCCAATGTCAGCAGCATTCAATGCCAGCAGCATTCATTCAATAGGGGCGAGGAAGCAGAATTTGTGTTGTTTATGTCTACATTGACCTCTTGTGCTTGACTGACACTTTCCTATCTGTTTTTAAACGTCACATATCGCAGTTGTATTTTTAGTTTCCGTTTAGAAGGCTAGAGTATACGTTTTATAAAGATGCATTTATCGTACATGTCAATCCCTTATCAGTGCCTACTGCAGACCAATTCAGACCATATTGGTCACCCCGTGCCCTTTTAAATCTCAACATTCATCCTAAAAAATCCCATAATCACGAGAAACAAACCAATATATTTTTGTTGCCCGTGTAGTGGATTCGAATTAGGTGCACACACAACTTCTTGGGAGGCAACACTTATTTATTAATGAACACAACAGTTAACTCTTATATTGCGCATAGGGTGGTGACCACCGCCTTACTCTAGCTAACACACACTTCTCAGATACTCTAGGGAGGTACAGCCTCCTGTCTTGGTGGGACTTCCTTACACGTCTATCGCTATCCTAGACTCCTCCGGCTGGGACCTACACACAGATCCCTTGCTACCCTAAGGAGGTACAGCCTCCTGTCTTAGCGGGACTTCCTTACACGTCTACCGCTGTCCTAGAGTCTTCCGGCTGGGACCTACACACGGATCTCTTCTTTGCTTCTTCACGATGAATCTTCATTCTTGATACGGGCAACCTCGAACCTCGTGAGGAGGCTGCTTATATGGACCTCGAGGTGCTCGGGCCCCGCCCCGGCCACGCCTCCCTTCGAGAACCCTCTCGAAGCCCCCCTGCTGTCCACGTGCCCCCCGAGGTGCCCCCTAGGGCCCCGGCCCCCACTGGGGTCCAGTCACGTGTCCAGCCGGCGTCACAGAGAGTGCCACGACCTCACACCACCCTCGTGGCCTCATGAGTCCAGAACCGGCCCTGACGTCATTCCCACCTCCAGCCGGGATGACGTCATGTGTGTGTGTAGACCCGCGTGGTCGTGACGCTACTCCGCATAGTGACGTCACACGTGTGCGTGTGTACACAGTAATGATGCTACAATCACTACACCCGTATTGAAACGGGTGTACGCCGTATGGACCTGAAAACCGTGGGGTTGCCAGCTCTGATTTATGTTAACGAGATAATTTTGCTGCAATACATTTTCACATGATAAGCCACTTTGTGGAGCCGTCATTTGTGGCCAGGTCGCTTCTAAAAATAAGCTAATAGTTCAGTAGGCTTTACCTGGAAAGATTTATTTTAAAAAAGATTTGCGTTTTATCTCCATATATATAAAAGGCAAAGGTGTGAATGTGTGTCTGTTCAAAATGTTTAGTGTACTTCCCGACATGCAACAAACTTGAAATTTGCCATGCGGGTACTTTCCAGACTGTACACCATGCAAAACTTATAAAAAATACACTTTTGTGTATATTTTTTTGGGGGGGGAGCTCAATAATGCATATTTTATTTGCACGGCAAGTGAGCTGTGACGTCAAATCTGTCACGTGACCCGCGCATGTGGAAGCGTAACGCATTGTAGTGTAGTGGTTAGCGCGCTGCGCTACGAACCCGGCGACCCGAGTTCGATTTCTGCTCACGGCCACCACCGGTGACGATTATTTTTACCGGTCCTGGGCCTCCCTTAGGTCGACTCAGCATCAAACGAGTAACTGCTCTGCTGTGTGAACATCGCCACTGGGGGGACAAAGGCGACCGGGCGTGGTGCTGGCCACCTACCGCCTCGTTTGTATATTACAGTATTTGAAAAGTGATTTGACTCCAATGGTGTTTATGTATTGTTTGTTGGTGTCACGGTCTAACCCGCCCCGGACATCTGTAAAAAAAAGAGAGCTTTATAGCTCATCGGATTTCTCCTCCAGTATAAATAATCCGATTATTTGGTTTAACACGTATGCTTTCGCGACCAATATCATCATAATTACCGGTTGTAATTACTGGCAAAACGTCGTACTCAGATTGTAAATGTTGTGGAATTGCCCCCCAACACAACCGGTTAGTGCTGTACCAGTAACGAATTGGCACGTTCTGTTCACGTGACAAACCTCACTCAGTGTCCGGGTGGTGGCGGGTTTAACGACACATTTAAATCTTGATTTGAAGCTTTCGTGATTGCAGGAATCCATACTCTTTGGTCACGTGACTTTTAATGTATAGACACATTAATATATTTACACGATCTAACTCCCCCCCCCCAAAAAAATCTATATTATGAATCGAATTTTGATTTAAAGCTTTTGTGACTGCAGGGATTCATATTCTTGGTTCTTTCGGTAAAGTCACGTAGAAGGGATACAATAAAAAATAAATAATAAAAATATATTCTTTTATTGTTTCTTTCGGTAAAGTCACGTAGAAGGGAAACAAAAAAATAAAAATATATTACTGTATTGTTTCCCTTCTACGTGAGTTTACCGAAAGAGCCAAAAAATGGAGCAAATTATTTATTTAATTATTGCCACCCCCCCCCCGCCCTTGAGTGACGTCACCACGAGGGAGGGGCGGCGGGGGCGGTGACGTCGCTCGGCGCGTAGTCACGTGGCGCGCCAAAGTGAACGATGGCGGCGCGGGTGGTGTCCCTGTGGTGCTCGGCGACCGCGGCGCTGCTGATGGCGGCGATGTTGGTGCCGGGCCCCGGGCTGGGACCGGGCACGGCGAGGGCCGACGGCTCGGTGCGGCAGATGCGCACGCACCTGTTCGCGGGGCCCGTGCTCAAGGTCGAGTACTGGTGAGGGGCCGCGTGTTCTTGTTGTTGTGGTGGTGGTGGTGGTGGCGTGGTGCGTGCACGAGGAGGTGGGGGGGTGAGGCCCGGCCGAAAGGGATGCGGAAGACGGCGGGGGAGAGAGGTAGGGGAGAAGTAGGGGAGACCGGGAGAGAGGTAGGGGAGAGAGGTAGGGGAGGGATGGAGAGAGGTAGGGGAGAGATGGAGAGACCGGGAGAGAGGTAGGGGAGAGATGGAGAGACTGGGAGAGAGGTAGGGGAGAGATGGAGAGACCGGGAGAGAGGTAGGGGAGAGATGGAGAAACCGGGAGAGAGGTATGGGAGAGACTGGGAGAGAGGTAGGGGAGAGATGGAGAGACCGGGAGAGAGGTAGGGGAGAGATGGAGAGACCAGGAGAGAGGTAGGGGAGAGATGGAGAGACCGGGAGAGAGGTAGGGGAGAGAAGTATGGGGAGAGACCCGGGGAGAGAGGTAGGGAGGTAGGGGGAGAGACCCGGAGAGAGCGGTAGGGGAGAGCGGTAGGGGATAGAGGTAGGAGAGAGATGGAGAGACCGGGAGAGAGGTAGCGGGAGAGACCGGAAAGAGATGTTGGAGAGAATCGCGAGAGAGAGGTAGGGGAGAGCTCGGGGTGAGACGGGGAGAGAGGTAGGAGAGAGACACGGGAGAGATACCAGGGAGAGAGACAAGGGAGAGAGACAAGGGAGAGAGGTAGGAGAGAGACAAGGGAGAGAGACAAGGGAGAGAGACAAGGGAGAGAGACAAGGGAGAGAGACAAGGGAGAGAGCCAAGGGAGAGAGACAAGGGAGAGAGGTAGGAGAGAGACAAGGGAGAGAGGTAGGAGAGAGACAAGGGAGAGAGGTAGGAGAGAGACAAGGGAGAGAGACAGGAGAGAGAGAAGGGAGAGAGGTAGGAGAGGGAGGTAGGAGAGATACAAGGGAGAGAGGTAGGAGAGAGACAAGGGAGAGAGGTAGGAGAGAGACAAGGGAGAGAGACAAGGGAGAGAGACAGGAGAGAGAGAAGGGGAAATATGAAGCGGGGGAGGGGGGTAAGAAGGAGATTAAAAAGAAGAGGGGGGGGGAGACAATGGAGATGGAGGGGAAGAGATAAGGAGCGGGAGAGAGACAAAGAGGGCAGGGGAAATAGCGGAGATGGAGAGAGATAAGGGAGAATCAGAATCAGAATCAGAAAGGGTTTTATTCGCCATGTAAGTTCACACCGACACGGAATTTACTTTGGCAGGATGGTGCATACATTCAACATATAGGAATCTAAAATCTTAAATAAGTTTTAAACAAGTCTTACTATAATACGGGTTAAAAGTCTAACACCAAGGGGCTGAAGTATATAAAATTAAATACATATCGAATATAAAATAGCTTTAAGATATAATTTAAAAATAAAAATACAAATAGGGTAACATAGTTAATATCGGCAAGGTGTCGTTATGTAGATCAAATGTTAAAAACAGTGTTAGCCCTTGGCCTTGTTTAACAGGCCAGCAGCAGATGGGAAGAAACTGTTTTTATGGCGTGAGGTTTTGGTCCTGATGGACCGAAGCCTTCTGCCGGAGGGGAGTAGCTGAAACAGAGAGTGTCCAGGGTGGGAGAAATCGGCCATAATCTTCCTCGCTCGCCTCATGGACCTTGTCGTGTGCAGGTCCTCGAGGGTTGGTAGATTGCAGGCAATCACCTTCTCAGCAGTGTGGATGATACGCTGCAGTCTGCTCTTGTCCTTGGCAGTGGCAGCAGCGTACCAGACGGTTATGGAGGAGGTGAGGATGGATTCAATGATCGCTGTATAGAATTGCACCATCATTGTCTTTGGCAGGTTGAATTTCTTCAGCTGCCGTAGAAAGTACATCCTCTGTTGAGCTTTCTTGGTGAGGGAGCTGATGTTCAATTCCCACTTGAGGTCCCGGGAGAGAATAGTGCCCAGGAAGCGGAAGGACTCTACAATTTTTACTGGGGAGTCTAACAGGGTGATGGGGGTGAGTGGTGCTGTATTCTTCCTGAAGTCCACAACCATCTCAACTGTCTTTAGAGCATTTAGCTCTAAGTTGTTCTGGCTACACCAGGTCACCAGATTGTCAGCTTCCCACCTATAGTCAGACTCATCCCCACCAGAGATCAGCCCAATGAGGGTGGTGTCATCCGCAAACTTCAATAGTTTGACGGACAGATGATTGGAGGTGCAGCTGTTGGTATACAGGGAGAAGAGCAGAGGGGAAAGGACGCAGCCCTGAGGAGTTCCGGTGCTGATGGACCTGGAGTCAGAGACTTGTGTTCCCAGCTTAACGCACTGCTTCCTGTCAGACAGGAAGTCTGTGATCCATTTACAGGTGGTGTATGGCACGTTCAGCTGGAAGAGCTTGTCCTGAAGCAGGGCAGGGATGATGGTGTTGAAGGCAGAGCTGAAGTCCACAAACAGGATCCTGGCGTAGGATGCTGGGGCGTCCAGATGCTGTAGGGTGAAGTGGAGGGCCATGTTAACTGCATCGTCCACAGACCTGTTGGCTCTGTAGGCAAACTGAAGGGGGTCCAGGAGAGGGTCTGTGATGGCTTTGAGGTGTGCCAGGACCAGGCGCTCAAAAGACTTCATTACCACAGATGTAAGGGCGACCGGTCTGTAATCATTTAGTCCTGTTGGCCTTAGCTTTTTGGGCACAGGGATGATGGTGGAGGACTTGAGACAGGCTGGTACATGGCATGTCTCCAGGGAGGTGTTAAAGATGTTGGTGAACACCGGAGACAGCTGGTCAGCACAGTGCCTGAGGGTGGCTGGAGAGACAGAGTCCGGCCCGGCTGCTTTGCGTGGATTCTGCCTCTTGAAAAGTCTATTAACTTCTCCCTCCTGAAAGGAGATAGTCGTCTCTGTAGTATTGGTGGGGGATGGGGCCTCTTGGGTTGGAAGGGGTGGTTCAGGACAGTCCAATTGTCTTTCAAATCTACAGTAGAACTCGTTCAGGTCGTTGGCTAGGCGGGAGTCGTTAGTGGTGTGGTGGGCTCTGGGTTTGTAGTTGGTGATCTGCCTGAGCCCTCTCCAGACAGAAGCAGCGTCGTTTGTAGAGAACTGGTGTTTTAGTCTCTCTGAGTACAGTCGTTTAGCCTCTCTCACCGCTTTGCTAAACCTGTTCTTCGACTCCTTGAATCTGTCTCTATCTCCACTCCTAAACGCTTCCTCCTTCTCCAACCTCAACCTTCTGAGCTTTGCTGAGAACCAGGGCTTATTGTTGTTAAAGTTCACCCTGGTACGTGTTGGGATACAGCAGTCCTCACAGAAGCTGATGTAGGACGTCACAGCCTCTGTGAGTTCATCCAGACTATTGGTAGCAGTCGTGAACATATCCCAGTCAGTACAGTCTAAGCACGCCCGCAAATCTTCCACAGCCTCACTGGTCCACTGTTTAGATGTCCTCACAGCAGGTTTACAGAGTTTTAGTTTCTGCCTGTATGCAGGAATCAGGTGGACCATGGCATGGTCAGAGTGTCCTAGTGCTGCTGAGCGCAGTGGGAATGGTTTATAGGAGAAAGAATGAAGAGGGGAGAGATGCCGAGGGGATGGGCCACAGATGGCGATGTAAACCGAGAAGAAAGGCGGGCGACAGAGGAGACGAAAGGGATGGGAGAGAAGGAAGAGAGAGCAGAAGAAGGGAGAGGGGATGACGTTGAGGGAGGACACGAGAGAGGGAGACGAGGGCGGAGGGACAGTCGAGAGGAATCGGGGAGAGATTTGAGAGGAAATGAGTCTAGAGACGCGAGACGAGAGATCAAAATGTTGATTTTGATTCTCCATGACGAATTTAAGGTGGATTTCCATCGTAGTTTCTCGTTTCTAACATTTATGCTCATGCCTTGTTGTTTTCTTGCTGTGCGTCTCGTTTAAACCCAAAACAATCCTTGCGAATAAAGAGCGCGTCTCTCTGTGTCCTGATAGGGCTTTATAATGTTACCATCACCTGTTGGAATGAAGTTCGTACTACGACTTGAGATCAGAGAACACGGGCAGCTCAGAGGCTTTGGCGCAGGGCACGTCGTTAGAAGCGATGATCGCCGGGTGGCCGGGAAGAATGACAGCCGTGAGGTGTCAACGTGCCCTCGGGAAAACGTCGTCCACCGAGGAGATGGAGCGATGAAATCAGATCGTTTGCAGGAGCGAGATGGATTGTTGCACGATAGGATCGTGAAAGTCGGTGGCAACTCGGGGGAAGGCTTTGATCCATGGCTGGTGATGATGATGATAATGCCTTCACGGTCGTGATCACCATGTTTCCGCAAAGCGTGGTTCCCCTGGCCTGGGGGGTTGGACTTTATCCGACATGGCGCGGTCTTTGGTCGACAAAGGGGCTGAAGGTCTCAACCTCCGTAAACGGAGCAGGCACATTCCAGCTGCCACACTCGGGGTCAAGGTTGAAATTTGTGGGCAGCCATCACCCAAACGAGCTTTTGACACGAGCGGCGCATTGAAGCTAAACTATTTTTTATTTTACGAAGTAAATGACCACTAAGCTGTAGAGCTCTTTTTTTTCAGAAGCGAGCTGGCTACCACAAATGATAGTTCAACGAAGTGCCTAATCATCGCGTGGAAATTTATAGCAGTTGCCGAATGCTGTGAATGCATGTGGATTATAAATGTGGAGTGAAAAACTGGAGAACCCGGAGAAAAACACACGTGACCACGGGAAGAGAGACACGAAAACTCCAAATATACAGCAGCAGGGGTCGGGTTCGAACCCACGACCTGTATACCAGCCGAGTTAACGTCTCGCCACCGTGGCACCATTGGTCAGTGCCATGGGTACATCGTCAACCTCGTCATGGAGATGACGACGATGTAGCTAATGCGAATTCTGATGGGAGCTTTGCTCCCCTGCACACGATCTGCTCCGCCTTGAGGTCTTGAGTGTTCAGCAGGGTGATTAACGATTGGCTGAAGTTCTGCTACCGAGCATCATTGATTAACCCTCCAAGCATATTTAACACACCTGTGGCATCAATCAGGATTGGTTTTGTGGCTCAAGAATTGTGATGGGTGTGTTAATTGGGCATGGTGTAATCTTGAATGGAAGGTGAAATATTGGGATGCGTTTATGGATAGGGGTTTGGTGTAGTTATAGGGATGGGGTTATGTAGTGGTTAGGGATAGGCGTAGAGATGGGATTAGGTAGGGTAGTTAAGTGCAGGTTGAGGTTATGGATAGCATTAGTTGGGTAATAGAGTTTGAGTTGTTCGAAATTGGAGTTATGGTTTAGGGTTAAGTAGTTATGTAACCCAGGTCGCCCTTGCAATATAATCAGTGTTTAATTTGTCTCCATGAATTTATGTCCTGGTTAAATAAAGGATATATACAGATTTGTGGATGAAATACGCATACGTGTGATGGTTAGCAATGAGGCTAAGGATCTTCATGAGGTGATTTTTGGGGTTTCGGTAGTACTAGGGTAGGGGAAATGGTTAGGGGGTGAAGGTAGGGATGGCAGTGAAGGGGTTAAGGTTGGGCGATCGGCACTCCGGGGCCGCGGTATATCACACCTCGTGAGTGTCGGCTCGTGGGACACTTCGGGTTTTGGCATTGATGGCGCGGTGTGTGCCCTGGTTGCCCGGCAGCGTCTCCTGAGGGTACCGGCGGGTGTTCGAGGAGTACTCCCGCGTCATCGCCGAGAGATTCCCGGACATCCGCGTGGAGGGCGATAACTACCTCCCACAGCCCCTGTACAGGTGAGAGCCGCTCTCACAACGGGCCCAGCCACTCCCTACTCTCCCCTCGTCCCCCGTCTGTTGCCCCTCATGCCTCCCTTACCTCTCTTTTATTTTTCCTCTCTCCTGCCTCTCTCCTGCCTCTCTCCGGCCTCTCTGTTGTATCTCGCTTTCATTTCACTCTTCACTCTTGCTTCTTCCCTGCCTCTTCAGTTCCTCTCCCCCGCCTCTCCACTTCCCCCATCTTCCCTAGAGAGGGAGGTTGTGATGGTAGCGTTTGGACCTAGTCTACTTTGGGGACCATTAAACGGCCAGCAAATTGGCCGTTAGGCAGCGGGTCCGTGTTAATTATGTGCATGATGGCTGCGCCACTGTGGCAGGGCTAGTTCTGCCGGTGTACACGCACAGTCCTTTCGTCAGTGCTCTGCTTGATGGGCGCCGCAACGCACGTTGTGCGTCACGGGGGGCTTATTTGACCATACTTCACCACGCCGGTCACCACTCGGTGAGGCGACGCGAGCACAATAGACGATATAACTTCCGAGCTCTGACGAGCTTGAGTGCATTCCGGGTGGTTTGGCCAGAGGCTGCACCAGTGTATGGGGAATGGTTGCACCAGTGTTCAGAGTCTGGGGCAGGGCTAGCTTGGCTAATGCCTCCTGCCAGCTCATTTAATTTGGCCCAAGCCAAGCGGCGTTACCCAAATATTTAATTAAAATCGGCTAGCTGCGAGGATGTGGCCGGGTGGTGGTGGTGGTGGTGCAGAGGTCGGAGATGCTTAGCCGGTACGGCTGAGGCTCTGGGTTCGGATCCGTGTTTCAGCCACCATCCGTGGTTAAACTACCGGGCTCTGAAGCGGTAACAAAGAATAATATCCTTTACCTCTTCTGGCAAAAATACAGGTGGTTAAGATGTCCAAACACCAAATTAGACATCTCTTACTAGGCATCAAGTCTGTATTAACCACACACGTTTGTGGAAATATATACACACAAATATGCTTCGATAATATAGACATTGTCCTTGAAGATGATTAGCCTACACCAGAGACAGCTGGTTCTGTCTCACTGGTGCTATAGACCAAAGGATACCAAAAAGGCGAGCAGTACAAGGACGATGCAAATGCCAAAGCATTAGAAATAGGTGCCTGCATGTGTTTGAACATCTTAACACCTGTATTATTGCCAGAAACGGAAAATCCTTTTATTTTTTTCATCATCTTGATAACTGCCAAAGAGGGTCCCACAGATAAGTAGTCGCAGTTTGATGGTCTCAGCTCGGTGTACTAATTACGTGAGAAAATAAAATATATATAATTTGGCCAAATTTCGGCTCTGGGAATTCGAGGTGTCAGTTTGACTGTTGTGCGATGAATGTTACGATGGCAGGGCTGGTGGGAAAGTGCTGCCCCCTTTACTGTGAGCACCAGGGGACACTTGTAGCAGGGGATCTCTGTGATATCCGCCCGCGTGCGCCGCTCTCTAAACACGAGGAGTTGCACTGCCGCGCGAGAGTTGGGAGTGGATTCTCTGTCTCGCGACGAGGCGCCGATGGCGCAGTTGGGATGAAGTTGGAGAATAACATTCAACAAAAGCGTTTCTTGAGTAAATTGAATTGCGACCCTGAAATCCTGACGGACATGCGCACGCGTGTTGAACTTCTTACGCACCGTACGTAGCCAACCGCGCTAATCGGACAACGAATTAAATCTCTCGGCAGAGTGAGTGAATAATTCCGTGCCTGCTTCCGCTGACCCGCGCGCGCGCTTCCCTCCCGTGTCGTCGTGGTCTCCCTTCTCCCGCCCCCGCGCGCTCCTCAGGTACATCGCCTCCTTCTTCTCCGTCTTCAAGCTGGTGCTCATCGGCCTCGTGCTGAGTGGGAAGAACCTCTTCCCCATGCTCGGAGTGGACACTCCCGGCGTGTGGACGTGGAGTCAGGAGAACAAGGTGCCGAGCGGAGCGCCGGGCTACATTAAAAAGCGGGACTGCGACGGAATCTCCGAATGTTGCCGATATTAGCCAATAAAATAAAGGGGGCTGCTGTCGCACGACTGCTCGATCTGATTATTGCTTGCCGATTAATCGATTGCCCAAGTGAATAAACGTTTTCTAGATGGCTGCCCGATCAACTTTGAGCGGCTGCTGGATCGACTGAGCCAAATCGCAACGATTAACTTAGATTCACGATCCACAAGATATATATAATGAGCAAATCTCTGATCGATGATTTCGTCGGTTGTCCCATTTCATCGTATTACAGCGCCACTGCTGCCGCGTCGCCGGTAGCGTCCCAGTGTTTCTCCTTCCCAGTGTACGGTGTTTCTCTTCTGAATAGACATCGCTTGTCTTATATTTCCTCTCTTGAACACATGTCCTGTCTCCGCTTTATGTCGCCTGTCTGAATACGCGTGCGTTGCGTATTTCCTTTCGAATGCATCTCTTGTTTCGAATATCTCTTTTTCTGAATATGTATTCCGTCTCTGTTTTATACATAGTGCCTATTTGAATACACCTACTGTCTGGCCTGTGTCTCCCTTCTTAATACATCTGCCTGTCCCCGGACATCCCTTGTGAGCGCAAGGGATGTGGGTACGAGTGGGGAGGGGCTTCACTTGGGATTCTCCTTCGCCGCCCCCCGCTCCGCTTTCCCCTGCGTTCCCCTTCGGACGACCAACGCGTGCCCCCCCGTCCTGCGTGCCCCCCCCGTCCTGCGTGCCCCCCGTCCTGCGTGCCGTGCGCAGCTCTACGCCTGCCTCATGATCTTCTTTGTGAGCAACATGGTGGAGACGCAGTGCATGTCGACGGGCGCCTTCGAGGTCTCCCTCAACGGTGAGGCGCCGTACGGATGGGGTCGCACGCGACACCGCGTTGCGTCCCATCGCACGCGTCGGAACGTGGCGCGGTGTGTTGACGTGTGCAATCAGCCGGTGTGTGGCCTGGCGTTGGTGCGCGCGCGCGCACGCACGCGCGCGTACGCATGGTTCGCTGGTATGGTGTGGCGTTGGTACGTGTGAGAGGCTGATGCGTTGTGTGACGGTGTGGTGGGGTAATGTGTTGTTCTGGCTTAGGGCAGCGCTCCTTTGTGTGTTTGTTGTTGCATTCTTTGGTTTTATCACAAAGTGCTTGCGTTCAATCAAATAGAGACCCTCCCACCCACAGCCCAGTGCAATGGTTGACCTGTGTGTATGTGTGTGTATTTGTGTGTATGTGTGTGTATGTGTGTGTGTATGTGTGTACGCGTGCGCTTGCCTGTGTTCGGGGAGCGCAGGCGCAGTGCTTAGTGCACTGCGCGATGCACCGGGTACCACGAGTTCGATTCCCGCTCACGACCAACGTCGACGAATATCTGAACTGATCCTGGGACTCCGCGAGGTCGACTAGGCCTTAAACGAGCACCCGGTGGCGTGCGTAAATGTCAGCGCCGGGGAGACGAAGGCGGCGAGGCGTCGTGGTGGCGGCCGCCCGCCGCTCCCGTCCCGTGCGCCTTTTCCGTCCTTAATAGGCGGCCCGCGAACGGCACTTGGCACGGCGGTCCCTGATCTCTTGTCCGTCCGCCTGCGTGTCCCACAGACGTGCCCGTGTGGTCTAAGCTGCAGTCGGGCCGAGTGCCGAGCCCCCAGGAGATCCTCCAGATCCTGGACAACCATGTGAAGCTGAGCGGCGGCTCCGCGGGCCGCATGCAGCCCTCGTAGCGACTCGCGCGGCCACGGCAGCGGCGGCGGCAGAGGCGGCGTCCGTGAGTTGCGCCGTCGTGAAGCGAGCGCGGGATGGTCAGGGTGGAGCGCGCAGTGGTTCGACTCCCGACTCGGGCGCCTTTCTGCGTGTAGTTTGCATGGGTGCCACGGTGGCTAGGAGATGTTAGCTGCCTCGCCTGGTCTACAGGAGGCCGTGGGTTCGATCCCGACCCTAACGCCTGTATATTTGGAGTTAGCATGTTCTCCCCGTGGTCACGTGGGTTTTTCTATTCGCATTTAGAATCAAAACGCGGTTAGAGTTTTGGCTGCTATACATTTCCACGGGATAAGCCACTTCGTTGAGCTATCATTTGAGGCCAGGTCGCTTCTCAAAAAGAGCTACATAGCTCAGTGGGCCCTTACCTGGTGAACAGAAAAATAGTTTTTAGTTTAGTTTCTCCCCCAGTTTTGCATTGGTTTCCTTTGGGTTCTCCGGTCGTAGCTAAAAAAAAGCATGCGGTGTCACTGCTGTTGGCCAAACACCTCCGGTGCTGAAAACGTACCTGCAAATTTCTCGATTGAGATCACGCATTGCAACATTGGCCCCGACCCTCGACTGTTAAAAACATGGCAGGACCCCCTCCTCCTGAAATAAGAGTATTGAGACTCGGCAATGCTTTCCCGGGTAAACAAGCGTAGTAATAATAATGAGAATCGATACATACCGACACGGTTACCATGTTGTCAGCGGTCACGTGTGTTACATGTCACGAGTCGCCGATGTACCTCGTATGTTGGATGCGTCACGAGCAGCCATGTCACACGTGTCATGGCTGGCCATTCGTGTCCAAATGCCCCACTGCGCCCGTTAACTCAGTAATAATAATAATTAGCTTTTGTTCGAGCTGCCCTCCTTTACGCACGGAGCGACTCCGAGCGCTTGACAAGCGACGGGCGACTTTCGTCACGTCCCATGTGAAACATTTGAAAGGGCACCCCCAGTGGCAGCTGCGGCACAGGGTGACCCCCGGGCCTGCACAATGGGGCATTCGTCTGCCGGTAGGGGGGTGAAGATTGCTTTGCGACTTACGATCCCTCTCCCTGTGCCCTCCTCTCTCTCTCTCCCTCCCCCTCCCTGCCTCCCTCCCTCACCAGTCGGCACAAGATGCGGTCTGCGGACGGACGGAAGGGTTCCGTGTGGGTCAATGACGGGCCGCTCTGAATCCTGGCCTCGCCGGGAGGAGCGGACCCTGACAGAAACGTTCCCACGCGGCTCTCCCCTCCGCCGCAAGGTCGCCGTCTCCGTGCCACGGACGGCTGCTGCTCCCCCCCCCCCTCACCCCCGATACCCGGTGGCGATGGCGGGCAGTTCGTTGACGCGAGCTCTGGGCCTCGCGTGTGAAGGTGGCAGTGTGGCCATAGCACGAGGCCGGACGGATGAAGCGCTCCCGGCAAACGTAGCTGCTCTCTTTCGCAGTTCATTACTGCCTTGACTCCCTCCCTCCCAATTTAAACTACCCGCCACCCTCCCTCAACCCCCCCCTGGAGATTACCTCAGAAAATGGTGAAACTCCCGTTCCTACCGTGATTGTTCCGTGTCCGTATGCAGACGCAGGGCGTGCGTGAGGGGGTCGTGGTCCCACTCCCCCACCTCTCCCCGTCGCTCCTCGTGAGAGACGGGGGGGGGGGTGGGGGGGGGCGTGGGGAAGTTGGTTCACGTCACCGCCATCACGCAGCACCCTGAAGGAACAGCTTTGCCTGAGCCGACACGCGCGCACACGTGGGCGCTGGTGCCCTTGATTAACCCGGGCACGTGCCCCCCCCCCCCTCCCCACCTTTTAATCATGAATTGTGACCCCCTTAATTATTGTGACCCCTTAATTAACTTAATCTCGGCTAAAAGTCCGTTGTTGCATGGGGGTCGGCTGCTCGAAAGTTATGATTATTATTTAATAACTGTGCACAGTTCTCTGTTGTTGATAAATCAACGAGTAAACTAATCGAGGGTTTTCTGTTCTTTATACCGGGATTAGTCTTTGAGCGCTCAAAGTGGGACGTGAGTCAATTAGCGGCGACAACTTCCTTGACCCTCGCCCTTCCTGCTTCACCTCGCGGCCGCGTTCTCGCTTCGCCCCGACCGAGCGGCCGCTACGAACCGGGAAGCGCGGAGAGCACGGCACCGCCACGCGGCCAGCAACGAGCCGGCAACGCGGCGCCGAGGAAACGTCGCCACCACTTTACCTGTCGCCCCTCCCCTCCCCCCCGGCTTGTGCGGATATGAACGTGGGGGGGGGGAGTGGGGGTCGGGAGCGAGCCTCGTAGGCGACGTGGTGGACTTGCTGCACCACCCAGCCCCACCACTACCGCCCTCCGCCATGGAGCCCATCGCGCCCCGATGAAAACAATTCCAGCCGCCACTGCGGATTAAGCGCGTTCAATTGCTAGGGCGTCCCTGAGCCCGCTATACTTGTGATTTATATTTGAATAACCGTCTCGTAATCTGTCGCCATCAGCGTGTAGGGAGGGGGCAGCCCTGGCGATCCGCTCGCGGTTCCTTTTAGTCGTGATTCACCCACCCCTGTACCACGCGAGGTAGTTTATATCCAGTGGTACCAGTTTGTGTGTATGGCTACTTCAAATGTATCATGTAATCAAACACTTATTAAACAAGGTTATTGTATGCTTCAATTTTATTGCTGATTTAAAATGTAATTTTGGGTTAGGCCATCTCATGATTTGACCAAATTTGTGTCGTTAAGACCCTCCTGCCCAGTCAAGAATTTTAAAAAATCCGGAAGTCTTTCTGACTTGCTGTATTTTTATTCGGACTGCCTAGGATCTTGTCCTGATGATCCGTGCCGTAGTTTCAAATGATATGTCGCACATCTAATCGTTAAATCTGCTACCAAGAATCTTACTTTATCCCAGCGGCGAGCGAGCTGAAACGAGCGCAATCGGCGCATCGTTAAAATGCTTGCGCACTGCGGGACAAGTATTTTGGTTGGGCCGGGTGGGGTGGAGGGTTTTTGACGACTAATTATGTCAGATCATTAATACGTAGCCTAAACCAAAAATTAATTATGAATCGTAATATCAGCTGTTTACGAGTTAAAGATCTCGGTAAAACTCAAGATTTCCCATCCCAGGTGGTACCAGCAAGGAAGATATTTGGTGTGGGCCACGGGATTCGTTCACTGATACAACGAATGGTTGTGGTTTGATTGCAAGAATCGATAAAAAATTTTCCTACACAATACGGTGAATGTCACGACCCGTGCACCCATTGCACACAAACTTCAACAAATTGATTCATCGTATAAACTCTTCCCACGCCTACGATTCGACACGTGTATCGTTAGCGCAGAAGATCGATTTAAACCGGTGAATCGATGGGTCGCTACGTGACTAAATGCTGCGGCGGGCTCTTCTATAACCCCCTTTGCGGATCGCTGGATTCCTGTTGCGTCTCCCTCAATGTGCGTGTGTGTGTGTGCAGTCCGTGTTGTATTTATGTAATGTGGGTCTCCCCCTATGTGAGTTGTGCGGTAGTTCCCGCACGTGTGATACTACTAATACTACTACGTAGGTTTACGCGGTTGTGCTGTGTATCTCCGACGGCGTTTGCACAACGCGACGAAGCTAAATAATCAACACGGGCTCGCTCTCCGGCGTCAAACACCAGCAGCAGCAGCGGCCGGCGATGTTGGAGTAATCGAGCGCGATCGTGTGGCCGCCTTCGTTGGGTTCCTGACGGAAGCTACCAACCACGTGGGGCGAATTGTTGGAACGCTGCGCCGAGCGGCACGCGGTTGCGACCCGAAAAAGCGTCGCCGGAGATGGAACGGCCGTGCGATTGCTGCTGGGGCCGGTTGACGGCGCGTGGAGCGAGTGGGGCTAGGCGAGCTCGGCCGGCCCTCGGTAACAGGGGGCCTGCGGTGAGCGAGGCTGTTTGTACCACGGGAAGTTAATAAATCGTGCTGCTCCCTAGCGTGACCTCCGTGCGTTGTCGATTCTCTCCGCGTGAATTCGCTCCGATGCCACCCCAAGTGTTCGCTGCCTCTCGTTGCCAACTCGTCCCCTCTTTTTATAAATGTGAAAATGAGGCCACACGGGTCGTCCTGTTTGGGGAGCTTTATTGTTCCGCAGGGCAGGCGACACGGCACCAACACTCTTGTATGCTTGTTGAACTTCTTTCGCACCGAACGTAGCCAACCCTTGCTAATCGGAGGTTTGTTGACTCCTACCCTTTCCCCCCAAAGCCCCGAACCCTCGACCCACATCTCTTTATAGTCCCTCTTTCCTACCAAAATGTATATTGGACTTTTCCCCCCCAACCCCCTCAACAATTTTTGAGGGCCTTTCTCTTTTTTTCTTTGGGAGTTGTCTCGTGTCCCCTGCTTGACGCCGACACCAAACCGCAGTGCCCAAGCTCTGCGTGTCCTCTATGTATTAAGTTGTTTTCGGCCAGTCAATGTGTGTTTGCATGTCGGAGGAAACCGGAGCGCCTGGAGAAAACCCACGCCTGCGACGGTGAGACGCTGTGTGGGCTAACATCCACGACGCCCGCGGGAAGGGAATTTTAACAAAAATCTGCGCGATCATCGGAGTGCACGTCACGGCAGAACGTGAGCGGCACGGGGACACGGAGCAGCAAGCAGGAATTGCCTACCATAATCAACCAGGAATGTCTGTCCGTCCCGCGTGTGACGTCACTCCACATGAGGCCCACCCCCTCTGCATGACGTCACGCCACGAGGCCTACCTCCCCTCAGTAATATTCATGAGTGGGTGGATTTTTACACGAACGCAGAGGAAGGTCGAGCTGAATTAAATAATGTATTACGCAGTCGCTTCAAATATGACGTTTCTTTACAGAAAGTGACGGTAAAAAATCTACGCAGCACAGTACTGCATCCGTGTGTGACGTCACTACTAAAGAGCCCCCCCCCCTCATTAATATTCATGCCCGCGTGGAAATTTACACGACTTCACAATAAGCTCGCGCACTCCACATGCCGCACCTCTCCCCTCATTAATAATCATGAGCGGGTGACGTCACTCCACATGCCGCACCCCTCCACAAGAACCATGAGGGGTGACGTCACTCCACATGCCGCACCCCTCCCCAATAACCATTAGCGGGAGACGTCACTCCACATGGGGCAACTCCCCCCCCCCCTCCCCCATCATTAATAATCATGAGCTGAACAATTTTCTATAGAATATTTCATATTTACTGCATTATACACCCGTGATAAAAGAGATGCCCGTCACGACCTCGGCGGCCAACACCCGTCTGAGCAGAGTTAATTACGACCTCGTGCACAACGAATAGCATAAGTTGGGTAGCACATAAAAAAAATAATGGGAGTTTTATTTATTTATTTTAGACGTGACATGAAGGCAAGTCTTTAATAGATGTGTCCTTGCACAGACCGCGGAGTTGAGAGAGACGAGGCGCTTTTTCGGGCAGCGCTGGGGATTAGAGGCCGACCGAAACTGAATTTCTGGTTTTCGGCCGAAAACGAAAGTAAACCTAAAGTTAACTTTTTGGCTTCGGCCGAAACAGAAAGTAAAATGAAATATTCTTGGTTCTTTCGGTAAAGTCACGTAGAAGGGAAACAATTTTCTTGCTGTGGTTTTCACACCTGATGATGATTGCTTGTGTTGCAGTCGAAACGTCGTGAGAATTTTAATGTTTTACATTTTTATTATTTTATTGTTTCCCTTCTACTTGACTTTACCGAAAGAACCAAGAATATGAATCGCTGCAGTCACGAAAGCTTTAAATCAAAAGTAAACTGAAAGTTAACATCAGGTGATGAAGGCTACTTGCGTTGTGGCCGAAACGTCGTGAGAATTGTATTGTCTTATTTTATATTATTTTATTGTTTCCCTTCTATCTGACTTTACCGAAAGAACCAAGAACATGAATCGCTGCAGTCACGAAAGCTTTAAATCAAAAGTAAACTGAAAGTTAACTTTTTGGCTTCGGCCGAAACAGAAACTATGCCGAAAGAGGCCATTTGCCAACTTTCGGCGCCGAAGCCGAAACCGAATTTCGGTCGGCCTCTACTGGGGGCTGTGTTCCAGATTGTTGGGGCTGCGCTCGAGAAGGCATCGTCCTCACCCCCCAGCGTGGGGTGAACAAATCCTGGGCTGGGCAAGTCTCGCCATGCCCAGGTGGAGTGGTGATCCACTAACCCTCGCTGTTGCCCCCACAGTGCTGCAGCGCAGGCGACGTGTCGACTTGCCTTGATACAAAAAAACGCCAATTAAGACTGTCGGGGCTTTTCACGCGTTGGCTTTCGCGACCAATATTCATAATGCAGCTTTTTTTTTGGGGGGGGGGGGGTAGATCGTATCGTTAACCCGCCACCACCCGACACAGCCAATTAGTGAGGTCTGTCACGTCGAAACAAAACGTGCCAATTGGTTACTCCAGCCCACCGGTGTGTTAGAGAGTAAATCCACAACGTTTACATTTCGACAACGACGTTTCGCTGGCAATCACTTTCAGCGTCATCGGGAAATTTTGCCAGAATTGTGGAGAGATCTACCTGCTTCGTGTTTTAATTAGAACCAGATGATCTCATCACTCTGTAGGGGTTCATAATTATTATTGATCAATTTACCTCTTCGCAGTCTGAATGCATTGGTCTCGCCAACATTAAACAGCCTCAAAGTCGAGGCTGTTTAGTATGGACAGGCGTACAATGAACTCGAGCGTTCTGGAAACTATCGAGTGATACATTACAAGCCCTGGGTAAACCTAAAACTCAGTAACACTCTGCTCTTCAAACGGGGGGAAATGTATAACAGGTAACGTTTTGGGCAATGGACCTTCTTCAGAGCACATCAATTGGGACCCATCGCTAACGCAGAAGGTCCGCCGCCTGTCGTTATAATCATCTGGCAGTTCACCAGCATTGGTTGAAGCACACAGCCGCACTGCTGATGAGACACTGAATGATGAGAGCGAACCCAATGCACGCTGCTGAAATTATGCGCTCCTGGATAGACCCGCGTGGCTGATGGGATGTGTAAAAAAAACCTTTTATATTTTGTGTGTGGAGTGGACAGAGATTAATGAGGGAGTCGTAACTGTTTGATTATTAATGGTACAGGGTGGTGGTCCAAATGTTTAGTGACCCCAAATTAATTGACCTCAACAATTTAGAGAATGTAATGGGGCGTTACAAAACATCTGGACCACCCTGTCTAATCTATAAATTAAACTATTTTTTGTTTTATTGTATCAGGTAAGGCCCACCCCACCGTGCTATGTAGCTCGACCTGTCCATCACAAACGACGGCTCAAGGCAGCGGCTATTCGCGTGGAAATGTTTACCAGCCGCCAAATAAACGCGTGGCGATGTTGGACAGCGCGCATACTCCAAATATACAGCAGCAGGCACGTCAGGGTTGGGATCTAACCCACGGACCTCATGTGTACCAGGCGATGTAGTTAACATCTCACCACGGAGAGAGAGACACGCAAACTCCAAATATACAGCAGCAGGCATCGTCAGGGTCGGGATCTAACCCGCGGACCTCACATGTACCAGGCGATGTAGTTAACATCTCACCACGGAGAGAGAGACACGCAAACTGCAAATATACAGCAGCAGGCATCGTCAGGGTCGGGATCTAACCCGCGGACCTCACGTGTACCGGGCGATGATGTTATTATCATGTCGCCACCAGCAGGGCATTGTTGCGTCTTGCAGGGTGGAGGCGCGTGTCGGTGCTCTGGGAATTTTCCACAAGAGCCATTGCCAGCTGAGAGTCCGCCAGCCTCCCTCCCCTCCCTCCCCTGGGGGGGGGGGGGGGTCAGCAACGGCGTGGCGGAGACAGGAGGTGACCCTCCTCCTCATCCTCCTCATCATCATCCTCCTCATCATCATCCTCCTCCTCATCATCCTCCTCCCATTCACACAGAGCGGGCGTGGGGGGTGGTGTAAGAGGGTCGAGGGGGGTTGCTCACCCCCACAGCTACACCGCGCCGATTGTTCTCGAGGCACCGCACACGGGTGTGAAACAATGCACCGCACTGCACAGAGTGGTTTAGTGGCACTGCACCGAGTGTTTTAGTGGCACTGCACAGAGTGGTTTAGTGGCACTGCACCGAGTGTTTTAGTGGCACCGCACTGCACAGAGTGTTTTAGTGGCCCTGCACCGAGTGTTTTAGTGGCACTGCACTGCACCGGGTGTTTTAGTGGAACTGCACCGAGTGTTTTAGTGGCACTGCACTGCATATGTTGTTTTAGTGGCCCTGCACCGAGTGTTTTAGTGGCCCTGCACCGAGTGTTTTAGTGGCACTGCACTGCACCGGGTGTTTTAGTGGAACTGCACCGAGTGTTTTAGTGGCACTGCACTGCACCGGGTGTTTTAGTGGAACTGCACCGAGTGTTTTAGTGGCACTGCACCGGGTGTTTTAGTGGAACTGCACCGAGTGTTTTAGTGGCACTGCACTGCATAGATTGTTTTAGTGGCACTGCACCGAGTGTTTTAGTGGCACTGCACTGCAGACTGATACTGTGTACTGCACCGATGTTTACCTCACACTCAACACACTCTCACGGAGCGAGCTGCTATGAAGAAGATCCATTGCCCGAAACGTTCGCCTATTGAATGCACCGTGCATTATTTACACTTTACAGCGGCATGAATCACGGGGAATGTGTTAGTGTGTGTGTAATCTGTGTTTGTGCAACGCCGCCAATGCAATAGCGCGCGTTTTTTTTTGTTCCATTAATCTGGCTGCACTGAACCCAAGTCAGAACCACACAATGCACTTGCACCCAAGTCAGAACCAACACAATGCACTTGCACCCAAGTCAGAACCGACACAATGCACTGAACCCAAGTCAGAACCACACAATCCACTTGCACCGAAGTCAGAACCAACACAATGCACTGAACCCAAGTTAGAACCACACAATGCACTGAACCCAAGTTAGAACCACACAATGCACTTGCACCCAAGTCAG